AATTGTGGCCATGGCAGCGAGTTAAAGACAAAAGTTTTAGACGATTTTTAAAGCCCTCTCCACTCACAGCTTTCCGTGCAATACACACCCATTATAAACTGACAATTTCTCCACATTTGCTCATGGTACTTTGAGAGGCACAGATGAAAAACGGTAAAAGATATGAAAAAGATGAAAACATGAGTGAATAGATGAGACCTGTGGCAACATTTGAGAGTTGGAATGGAGTCTGTAGCTCAATGTATGGAGACGCTGTAAAGGCTAGAAAAAGCCCAAAGATTGGTCTCTTTCTCCCCCCTGCTGCCATTCATTTCCTATGGGACAGCTTTCGAAGATCGTCGGGACGTTTTTCTGACATCTCTCCTTTAGGAGCCCATAAAATCCAAACTAATCGAGTAATGAATAAGTTATGAATAAATAAATAAAAATAAATAAATCTGATTAGAAGGAGTTGATCTGTCATCTGTGCAAGTTTGAAGCCGATAGGATAAACGGTGTATGAGAAGAAGATTTTTTAGGAAAGGCAGTTTTAAGGCAAAATCTTACTTTGAAAGGGCAAATAGCTCACTTACTGTTGTATTTAGGTCAGGGGTGTGAGCATGAGAATTGTAGGGCTTGATGAGACGAATGCGTCAGTTTTGGTTTGATGTCTCTACGACATAGTGTGCCTAGGAGGCGCTAGAGAGAGCATTTTGGCACTTTAGGGGTTAATTTCATGATTTTCTAAAATTTTTCACCGGTTCTAATATGCGTGCCAATTTTGTTGAGTTTTTGAGCATGTTTAGGGGGTCAAATTCCAGTTCAAAGAGGTCGGCCGAGGTACCTAAATATAAACGCACCAAACACAATAGGGTCCTCGCCCTTCAGCCAAGGTACTTAATAATAAATGCTACAAAAACAATAGGGTCCTCGTCCTTCGGCCGAAGTCCCTAATAATAATAATAATAATAATAATAATAAATGCAGCAAAAACAACAGGGTCCTCGCCTTCGGGCTCGGTCCCTAATAATAATGATAATAATAATAATAATAATTAAAGCTGCAAGCAGCGATGAACGGGCCCTCGCACCTTCACGCAACTCGGGGGGGCTGGCAGGAAGTCTTCTGACGAGTCAGTTCATTTCTGTCAAAGTAAGACATCGCATGCTGGAGTGACTTGGCATTTCCTTGATACAGTGCTGGAATGACATATCTCACATTTTGAATCACTTCCTCTTTCCACTAGAGGGAGTTGGAAAATGCAGTAATTATACATCATGTTTTTATACATCACGTATACACCACAGCATTTAACTTTCAGATAAATCAAAAGATAAGTGTTTGAGACCTACTTCCTGTCACCACTAGGTAGCACTATGAGTATAAGGAAATATGGTCATATAAATGTTTTCAGGGCAGAACTAATATGAATCATCTGAAGTCTGATGGAGATCAAAACATTTATGGCAAAAATATAGCAATTTCTTGTTTCATGGCGAGACATTAAAATTAAACCCTCTGCAGCACGCATAGACACTAATGATATCTCATGTTTGTGTACATCAAATACACACCACAGCACTGAAATTTCAGGTTAATCCAAAGATAAGTGTCCGGTAAGAAGTACTTCCTTTCACCACTAGGTGGCGCTATGACTATCACAGAATATTGTCATATAAATGTGTTCAGGGTGGGACAAATATGAATCATGTCAAGTTTGGTGGACAACGGACCATTTACTCCAAATTTATAGCAATTTCCTGTTTCATGGCGAGACATCAAAAGTAAACCCTCTGCAGCACACGTAGACACTAATGATATGTCAGGTTTGTGAATATCAAATATACACCACAGCATTGAAATTTCAGGTGAATCCAAAGATAAGTGTCTGATAAGAAGTACTTCCTTTCAACACTAGGTGGCGCTATGATTATCAGGAAATATGGTAATGAGAATGTGTTCAGGGCGGGACTAATATGAATCATGTGAAATTTGGTGGAGATTGGACCGTTTATGCCAAAGCTACAGCAATTTCATTTTTCATGGCGAGACCTCAAGATTCAACACTCGGCAGCGGGCGCGCCATTCAACATTGGGCAAATCCTGTGATAACTTTTGGTCACAACATAATCACGCTTACATACACCAAGTTTGGAGCCAATCTGATTAAATCTGTAGGACAAGTTCGTTAATTTACAAGCCCTGGAAATGGGCAAAAACGCACAAAAGTGGCACAAGTAAATTCAAAATGGCGGACTTCCTGTTGGGTTTGGAGCATGGCTCCAAGAGGCTTTTTTGTACGTGATAGAGTGTTACAGGTGCCCACCAAGTTTCATACATGCAGGTCAAAGCAGCTTTGGGGGCTGCTTAATTGAAATATTCTAGGGGGAGCTGTTGAGCCATTTTGGTGCATCAAAGCACAAAAATCACATCAGACAACAGGACTTGCGACCTGTGATGTGTATGCCACGTTTGGTGAGTTTTCAAGCATCCCTTGTCCCTTCAAAACAACATCGTGTTTGATGGCGAACAAGGCGGCGCCACGGTGACAGCGTTTGATGAAAACTCAAAGGCTTCGTTTTTAAGCATCATCAAGGTCTAAGGACTTAGACAAGGAAGTTTGAGGTGGGTCTGATTAACCTGCTAGAAGCGGGACATCAAAGAATGTATAAAGTAGCTTTCTGTTGCCAAAAGGTGGCGCTATGGCGGTGATTCAAAATTCCTCTGTAGATGTGTTCAGGGATGGACTGTCATCATATGTGTGATGTTTTGGCAAGATATTCCCATGTGGAGTCAAGTTACAGCAACGTTTATCATCACAGTGAAACATCAAAGTTCACCACCAGGACGTGGCCACGCCCTTCGACGAAAACTCACAGTTTCCACAATAAAGCGTCATCAACATCTTATGACTTTTTTCACCAAGTCTGAAGTGGATCTGGTCAAGTCTGTAGGAGATGTACATTAAAGTCTAAAACATGACATTGCCCGTTGCCAGTAGGGGGCGCTATGTTTATCTCAGATTATTGACATGTAGATGTGTTCAGGGCGGGACTGTCATCAATTCTGTGAAGTTTTGGGAAGATTGGACCATGTATGCTGGAGTTATAAACTACTTCCTGTTTAGTGGCGAGACCCCTAACTTTGACGCCATCCCACGGTCACATGCATTGACGAAAACTCAAGCTCTTGATAACTTGGGATGGGACAGACCAAGGTTTGAAGTCCATCGGATGAAGTCTCTAGGACTAGTTCGTTCATTTAGGACCCCTGTAAATGGCCAAAAATGCACCAAAATTGCACAGTAAATTCAAAATGGCTGACTTCCTGTTGGGTTTAGAGCATGCCTCCAAGAGGCTTTTTTGTACGACTCTGGGCGTTACATAAGCCTGCCGAGTTTCATACATGTAGGTTAAACTAGCTTCAGGGGCTGTTTCCTCAAATTTTTGTAGGGGGCGCTACTGAGCCATTTTTTTAACCCGCACACGAGACCCTTAAAATATCAAATTTTTCACCAGTTCCGAGATGTGTGCAAAGTTTCATGAGTTTTCGGGTATGTTAAGCCTCCCAAAAAGACAATTCATTTGGAGGAATAATAATAATAATAATAATAAAAAATCCTTGCATTTCAATAGGGTCCTCGCACCGCTAGGTGCTCGGGCCCTAATAATAATAATAATAAAAAATCCTTGCATTTTAATAGGGTCCTCGCACCGCTAGGTGCTCGGGCCCTAATAATAATAATAAAAAATCCTTGCATTTCAATAGGGTCCTCGCACCGCTAGGTGCTCGGGCCCTAATAAACCTTACAGGAACAAGAGGGACTTCGTCCTTCGGTCGAGGTCCCTAAAAAAACGCTACAAAAACAATAGGGTCCTCGCCCTTCAGCCGAGGTCCCTAATAAACCTTACAGGAACAAGAGGGTCCTCGCCCCTTCAGCCGAGGTCCCTAATAACACTGGACTTAGGAGAACCAAAGAGACCCACACAGAGCTGCAGATTGATGGGGAGAGGGTGAAGAGAGTGTCCAGCTTCAGATTCTTAGGAATCCACATCAAGGACAACCTCAGCTGGAACCTCAAGACCTACCTAATCAAGAAGGCCCAGAAACGCCTCTTCCACCTGAGAACACTCAAATGAAACAGACTTTCAAAGAAGGTGCTCGTTAACTTCTATCGCAGCACCATTGACAGTGTTCTCACATACAGCAGCCCTGTCTGATTCTCTAGCTGCACCGCAGCTGCGAGGAAGAGCCTACAAAGAGTGGTGAAAACTGCTCAATGAATCATCGGCTCCCCCCTCCCCCTCTTGAGTGACATTTACTCCTGTCGCCTCTGCAAGCGGGCCTTCCGCATCCAGAAGGACCCCGCACATCCTGGACACCCCCTCTTCGGTACTCTCCCATCAGGCAGGTTGAGAGCCATACGTGCGAGAACCAACAGACCGAGAAACATCTTCTTTCCGCGAGCCGTGAACTCACTGAATTGACTGACTGTGTAACTGCTGCACTGCACTTTACTGTACCATACCAACTGTCATCATATCATTTAATGTACCATACTGCTGATCCGACAGTCGATCTCATCTGTTTTACTTCTTTTTTTCATCTCGTTTTTTTTTTATCTTAATCTCATTTGACTTTAATTCTTACTTAGTTTTTAACAACCAAATGTTCATTTATATTTATAATAATACACAATATTTATTTGTACACTGCACTTTACAACACTGTTTACATTTTACCACTGTTTGTTGATCTGACCTGTGTGATGCCGAAACTAAATTTCGTTGTATCCTGTGTACAATGACAACAAAGCTTCTTATCTTATATTAAATGGGAAAGTACAACAGCTAGAACTTCAGTTCAGAAAATGACAATCACTTTTCTGTAATGCATCCTTGAAAACCAGGAAAAAAACACAACACTATTGTGAATTCAGTTTCAGACATTAGTACTTTGTGGGATGACAGACAGATTAGCTAATAAAGAATATCCAAGCAGCTTTTCACTGTTTTCATTACCTGTTTCTTCCTCTCCAGCTGCTCCTGTTTTTCTTTCTCCTTCATCTTGTCCAGCTCTCTGTTCTTCACCAGGATGCTGCTTTTGCTCTCGGGGGTTTTCTTCTCCAGGATCTTTGCCATGGCCTCAGCCCACCCACTATTGGCATTGCTGTCATCTCTCCTCTCATTCTCCTCTCCCTCTTCATCCTCTGTCTCCTCCCAATCACTCCCTTCTTCACCATCTTTGTCATTTCCCTCTCCATCGCTTGCTCCGTCAGACTTTTCAGCATTGCTCCCTCCTTCAGGATCATTCTGGTCATTGTCATACTCAAAGTGAGGCTGTTCGTTGTCTCCTGAGTCCCACAAACAAATGCAAATGATTAGTGCTGTTGCTACCATCTCTCACTTCACTTAAACTTATGCTCCTACCATTACTCATGGTCCATCACCACTGATTTCCCTAATCAATTCGATTTCAATTCACAAGGTCCCCATTCAATTCGATGTCCAAACTGGGGATATTTCAGTTACAATACCAATTTTGCTGGAATGTGAGAGAGATTCTCAGAGAATCCATACTGTAAATTCCACAAGGAATTATTCAAAAAAAGAATACATTCAGAACAGGATTAAAACTAAATATTTTATAACTAAATATTGTTTCTAGAGCAGCAACATTAATATTAAAACAGAAGGTCACAATGTAAACTCAATATCTCACTGGCAGCAAATCTAAAATGTCAATAAAATTCATTAAATTCCTGAAATCACAACACTGAGTGAAGTTTAGAAAGAATAAAAAACACAGTCAGCCAGCCAGCATCAGTGCTCCTGTCCTTTATGCTCCTCCCTCTGCTGCTGAGGAGATTCACTACCTGCAGGTCTCATGACCATTGGTAAATGTTAAGATTTGAGGCAAACCAAGCAAAACAGCTGAACAAAGCTGTTGTTTCAGCTTGTTAGTAAAAAATTTGCTATTAGCTGGAAAGCTTGTTTATGATATATTATTAGCTGTGGTGGATGAGAGAATGCGGACAGAGCAGACTGAAATATCACTTTCCTACACTTTTCCATGTTGCTAAACAGGTTTATTGATGAAGTATTTACTTTTTCCTCTAAGAAATTTTATTGCAATAAGTCCAAACTGGTCTAAAAAGATTTCCACACACTTCCATCTATGCAGCGTTTCACTTTATTGTTGAGCTTTCCGTCTATTTGACCTTCATCAGAGCATACATAAGGCAACAATGGACAGGCAGGTAAAAGTAATTAATCTCAGGCTAATCACTGGCAGTATGCAATACGCCTGTGTACTACCCTGGTGGTAGAAGTTCCACCTCCTGGAGTTGTACTTAAAAAAAAAAAATACTGAATGGCAGACTGTGAGGCATACAAAAGGAAGCCATGCTTGTCTTGTTATACAATACCAGAATCCAAGAAAGGGGGTAGAACACAGAATAAAGAGCAAAAAAAAAAGTCCAAAAAAGTTAATAACTTACAATTTACATGGCGAAAAGGTAGTTTCTTGCAACCCTAGAATTAAGATAAAAATATTCACAAACAAAAAAAACACTTCTGGTTGCTGCTAAGTACTGTTTAACTTTTGATTTAACACTAAAAATAAAAACCCTCAGCGCACACTGCAGCGCAAGCAGACAGATGTGCAACTCAGAGCAGCATGTGTCACTGACACCAGACTCAGAGCGCAGCGGACCGGTGGAAAATGTCACCATCAGCATATTATTTTACATCAATATTTTATCATTATTTTGAGTCACATTGTTTAAAGAATTTAGTTGTCTGTTCAAGCAGGATAATAGGTCTCCATTCATTGCACGGCGGGCTTTCTATTTCCTTGTCAGAGATGGGGTTGCGTTCAAGGTCCCCCAAAAAAAACGGGATTAAAAAAAGGCAGAATATTCAATTTTTTTTTTTTCACAATCAAATCCCGTGCCATCGAATGAAGCTTCGAAGCTTTGAAGCTTCGAATTTTTTGGGTCGGCCCTAACTGACACCATTTCCCTCAGTGGAAACGAAGCTTGTATTTACTTGTATTTCACAGATAAGAAACAATAAATTGTGAAGACAGTAAAGCCTCCACAAAATAGCATTTTAAGTCATGCGTGTGACATATCCTTCAGGGATTTATCCTGGCTTAATATGAACAGAGGAAATCTCTGCTCGTCGCTAGGCTAATTTATGTAATGTAAAATGCCATAGGCTGGCACTAATAACATTAGAATGTTGTATTTGTTTGGAAAACATGTTTAGTGTAACAGTTGTTTTGTCTGTGAATGTTGTGAGTTGTAATGGAGCCAAATTATGTGCCCTTACCTTTGTTAAATGTTGCTGTTGTCCCTGGCTTTATATGAGAAGAGGAAAAGATCGCCAGCCGCTAGGCTAATTTATACAATGTAAAATGCCATAGACTTGTGCTAATAATGTCAGCATGTTGTATTGGTGGGGGAAATGTGTCCAGATAAGGACAAGTGTTTGTCTGTCAATGCTGCGATTTATAGTGAAGCCAATTTGCAAAATTGTCTTTATTAAGCCATATTTAATGTGTGTTTTGAATCAACTAAACTTCACAGCACTTAACAGAGTGCTCAACCGCCGACTAGCGTTTTGGAGGTGTAACTGCGGAGTGACACAGACACACCACCGCAGAAGTAAAAATAACGTGAACATGACTTTCTGAATTGTAAACATCCTGTAAAAGCTTCTTCTATTTGCTGCCCAAAATCCATAAAAGCTTGGTTAAACTCAAAGGCCAACTTATTGTAGCCAGCAAAGATTCTCTTCTAGAACTACTATTATCTAACTATGTTGATTATTTTCTTAAAGCCTCTGGAAACCCAAATCCACAATAGCCTTCTAACTATGTAATTTAGAGTCTCATGTACATAATATTAAACATGTAAAACAATTAGAAATCAGATTCCATCCAAATTCAAAATATCTGTCTTTTAAGTTTTTGTACATTCTTGAAATTGGGTTTGATTTGGCTGTGGTTATCTCTGAGATTTATTACGCAATAAATTCCAAACCAATCATAAATCATCAGTCAGTTGTCTCATCCAGCCCCCCAGTGGCAGCGCAACAAAACCTTTCTGCTCCAGCTAGATCTCTTTGAGTCTGAGCCAACTCGTCTTTCTAGTCTGATGTTTACAAAATACAGATCGTAAACTGGCTGAACCGCTCGGCTGCGACCCAGCGGAGGCTCTGCCTCTGGCGGGCTCCCAGCAGCACTCGAATCAGGTTGACCGGCTCCAGAGCCCGGACAATCCGAGCCTTTGCAGCTCGTGGAGCTGCAGGAAGAGGCAGCTTGTGAGTGGCCGGGCTTGCCCCCCGGGCCCGGTGTCGGCTCACAGGGAGGGGACGTCATGTGCACCCTTCCTCACCCCTAACCCCAACCCCAAGCAGTTAGCTTTGCTACGCATAAACATATCCCCAGTCGCGGAGGTGATGCTACGGGAAACAACACAATTTTAGTCGGAGGGGAACATTATTCAAGGCGGGCAAATACTTCTACACAACGCCAGAGAGACGGCCGGCTGGCACCGGTCTCTCCCGCTTTGATGGTCGGTGTGTGTGTCAGAGTAAAGACATATTTAATCTATTAAGACTGCATGTGTTTGAATGAAAAAGGCTATTATCAGAAGAACGGAGCAGATTTATGTTTTCAATGAAAACGTATCTCAATGAAGAAAGGCAAAGCGCTAGCCTCCCGTTGTCATTCATATCAGCTAACAGCCGGGCTCCACCGGGCACGTCTGCAGCGCGAGTCCCGTAGCAGCTCGCCCCCCGGTTAATCAATTACAGCGGCTCCACTGGCAACGGGAGCGGCATGACAACTCTCTATTTTACGCCACTCTTCTATTGTTTATCCGTGACACTGTGTCCGTGGCGGACATTTGAAAGCGAGTAGATGACAAACAGTACAGTAAACTTGTAGATAACTCAAATATATGTAATAACTTAGGTGGAAAATGCTTTAACATTTCATGCAGCCTACATGCAGCCTCTCGGCTCAGCAAACGGTAAACAACCCCGCTGGCTTCTCTACGTGTCGCTTCCGTACGCAGTCAGTGGAGCCCAAATGAATACGCCGCAACGCTACGCTGTATGTTTGCAGCCGGTGGAGCCCGGCCGTAACATTGCATGTAAAAGTTATGCTAACTATTCTACGAAGTAACATTAATATGAATCACGAAACATTTTGAAACTTACCATTCAGTGACCACCTGAAAGGAATCATTTTCAGCTTCTGCTTCGTCCTCTGAATCATTAGAGGGCTCAAACATGTACGGCTGGATTAAATTTGTGGCAGCCATTGCTGAGCCAGGGAGATGTCAATCAAAACGAGGGAGCTGTCAATCAGAGTGTTATCTGCCACGCCCCCTCTGTCCTGGCAAGTGGTCTAAACAGCAAAATGAGCTGTTTTTAAACCAGGTTTTCTAATAGTTATTAATGGTTATTTTCACTCAGACTTTTGTGGATGATTAATGAGACACTCGACTTTGATATGCATTTTTACTATTTCAAGCTGTGTTTCCACAGGCTTTAAACCATAAGTTCAGAAGGCTCTGTCATACATCAAACACTCTACTGACTTAAACAAAATATCAATGTTAAAAGAGTTACCTCATGATATCATTCTGGCAACTTTAGATGTGGAAAGCCTCTATAATAATATCTCCCATGACAGTGGCCTTGAGGCTCTTGTGTATTTTCTTAAAGACCACACTGAGAAGGAACTCCCACCCAGTACATTTATTGTGAACTGGCTGCTTTGGTACTCAAACTGAACACTTTTCCTTCATTGGAGATTTCTTTTTACAACTTAACGGTACATCAATGGGTTCTACTAATGAACTAATTCTAATTTCCTCAATAGTATGAATACTGATCTTAAGTTCTCAGTAAAATATGATCAGAAACGTGTGCCTTTTTGGATATGTGGACTGCACTATGCAATGGAAGCCTCATCACCAACATATATCAAAAAGAAACCGATAAGAATACACTCCTAGCCAGCAGTGCTCATCCAAGAGCTCTTAAGTATGGTTTACCCAAAAGTCAGTTCTATAGGCTCAGACGCATGTCACTCTAATGAGGAATACATTGATAAAGCTGCTGCCATGAAAAAATGTTCTGGAGAGAGGCTAGTCTTTACAGTGTGTTGATAAGGCCTACCAAGTTGCACTGTAAATCCTGCTCTGATCTGTAGCAAAAAAGTGGCAAAAAAGATAAAAGCTATTCTGTCTCCTGTATCACCACTTACACTCCTCAGGACAATAGCCTCAAGAACACTATTCTAAAACACTGGCATATTTTGGCCTCTGATCAAGGA